TGTTTTATACACCTGAAACTAATAAAAAAAATTTTTCCTATATATTTTCCTAGTACTTTTAGTTTTTTTTTAACATTTAAGTCTTTTATCCATCTGGCCTTCATTTTTATTTAACTTGTGAGGTAGATATCCAACTGTATTTTCTTCCATGTCTACTCAGTTGTCACAACACTATTTATTGAATAATCTAGGTTTCTTCTGCTGATCTGAAATGCTACCTTTTTCTTTCTTTCCTTTCCTTCCTTCCTTGCTTTTCTAACTTCCTTTCTCTGAGTTATCCACCTATTCATGGCTTCAGTATCAGTTGTAACTATATAGCTTAATAAAATTTGAAGTTTTCCTATAATTTTGGATACTAGCTCTTCCCCTTCTTTATTCTTCTTCTTCAGAATTTCATTGAAGGGGTTTAAGCAGTGGAGTGACACAATCTGTTTTAAGATCATTCTGGCAACAGTATGGAAAAAAACACTGCAAAGGGCAAGAATGGAAGCAGGAAGACAGGTGGGAGGTACCTGCAATAATCGAAAAGGATGGTGGCTCAGACTAAAGAAGTAGCAACAGGAGTGGTAAGAAGTGAGGAACACTGACGAGGAAGTCTGGGAGGAATAAAGGGTCCTGTTTTATACATATTGTTTGAGATGGCTATTAATTATCTAAGTATGATTAATCATCTATTTGTCAAGTAGGCAGCTGCAATACATGAATCTGGAACTCAGAGGTCAGGGTAAGAGAGATAAAACTGGGAATCAGCCACCACCTAGGCGGTGTTTAAAACCACTGGACTGTATGAGTTCCCTAGAAAGTAACATAGATTGAGAAAATGGACAAGTATAATGACCTAGAAACTGAAGAAGGTACTTTATGAAGGAGGAGAGGCCCAGCCGAGTGGCATGTTGGTTAAGAGTTGGCTTGGGAGCGTGAGCTCTGAGCAACATGGCCCCGGTTCGGATCCCACATGAGCGCCAGTGACGTTGCGCCCTCTACAGCTAAGATGGTGAACAACAGCTCGACCTGGAGATGGGCTACCGTGAGTCGCCGGTGACGGTGTAGGCTGTAGTGGGGCTGCAGTGGGCCGCCGTGAGCTACCGTGAGTGGCTGGCAGCCAGCATGAGCAGCCGGCAGCCAGCGTGAGCTGCCAAGAGCCACCGTGAGCAGCCGTCCATTGGCCAGCGACTGATCTGCCTCAGCCAGGAAGAGTGCAATGATAATACCAACATGGGCCAGTGAAGCGATGTCCTCCACAACTAGACTGAAGAACAAAAGGACAGCAACTTGTCTGTTCCCCTCCCCCAATTCCCCAATAAAATCTTAAAAAAAAAAAGAAAGAGGAAAGATTAACTGTGAAAGGATGAGAAGAATGAACTAAAAATTGACCACTTACTTTGGCAAAATAAAAGCTGATAGTGACCTTAACAAGAGCAGTTTCAGTAGAGTGGTGTAGACAGAAGCCTGACTAAAGTGAGCTAAGGAAAGATAACAGATAAGAAAATGAAGGCAACAAGTTGAGGCCATGTTTAGAGGAGTTTTTCCAAAATAGAGAGCAGAGAAATGGGACAGTGGCTAGAGGGCCATGGTGTTAAATAAGGATTTTTTTTCAAGAAGTATTACTGCATGTTTTTGTGTTGAAGAAAATGATGAGTCGGACGGAAGGGGGGCAAATCCAGAATATATATAAACATCCTATAAATCAATAAGAAAGAGACAATTCAATAGAAAAATGGAGAAAAATTAAAAACATAAAATGAAAACTCAAATGTTCAAAAACAGAAATATAAGCAAACTCACTAGTAATCAATGGCATGCAAAATAAGACAGTAATAAGATATTACTAAACAGATTGGCAAAAAAAGTTTAAATCTGACAACATTAAATGATAGCACAGCTGTGGGAAATAAGTACAATCATAAACTGCTGATGGGAATAAAAATTGGAATGGCCACTCTGTGGGACAATTTAAAAACTAAAAATACAAATACACTTTGACCCCCCAAATTCCACTCTACACTATACAAACACCTGCACATGTGCCCAAGGAGACATCTACAAAGATGTTCACTGTAGCAGAGATTCTTACTAGTGAAAAACTGGAAGCAACCTAATATTCGTCAGTAGGACAATGGACAAATAAAATGGGTACCCACATACAATATAACACTATACAGGAGCCCACAGTTGCACCACATCTATTAAATAGCATATGGTATTTTTAAAAACAATTATTAAATATTTTCCATGCAATTGTGCATATGAATGTGAAAGATTAAAAATGGTCTGAAAGGACACATGGCAAACTCCTAATAGTAGTTACATCTAGGAACATGAAAAGGGAACTGGTAATAGTGATTAATTCTTTTAAAAAGAAAAAGAGAAAAAAAAAGTAGAAGGAAAAAAAACTTGTGAGCAAATAAGCCAAATCTAACAATGGTTAATTCTGGATAGCAGGAACACAGTAGGGTAGGAATTGGCAAAGTATGGCTCTGGGCCAAGTCCGGCCCACCACCTGTTTTTGTAAATAAAGTTTTATTGAAACACAGCCACTTACTGTGCTAAAATGGCAGAGGTGAGGAGTTTTAACAGAGACCATATGGCTGCAAAGTATAAAATATTTATTATCTAGAGCTGTATACAAAACGTTTGCTGACTTTTACAGATTTCCTTCTTCGTACTTTATCTTACCTTTCCCCCAAATTTAAGACCATTTAAATAACTTGAAGGAGATTCACACTAAAGTCCCAAAAAAACAAAGAAGTAATTTTAAAACTGTCAGGTTTTTTTAAAATCATAGAGTACTACACTATTTATTATTATTATTATTATTATTATTATTATTATACTTTTAATAGACTAAACTGAAAATATTAATCAGAGCTATTCTGTAACACAGTTTAAATGACTGGTGAATTATAGAACTCCACATAGGGAAAATATATATAGGGGAGTGACATTTAATATGAAGGATATGTTCCTAAAAACTGAGTAATTCAAAACTAACACAATTCAAGACTAACTGCCCCATACATATAAAGTGGAGGAGGGATGCATTCTCAAAGTACATAAATCAATATGGGATATTTTTATAATACATATTACTGATATAAAACATAATGCATTGATACCTAAATTAATTATATAAAGATGTGGTTAATAACAAAATTGTTACTTCTATAACACAGTGATTAATCATGAGATTTTAAAATATAATTTAATGTACAGTATATAATATATAAATAACTACCAAGTTAACTTAATGACAGTTCACTAACTAATGTAGTATACTGCCTGAAAGTAATTAAGTAGAAGTTATCATTATTATCTTCCAACAACACAAATAATGGGAGAGATAAGAGGTATCAAATTAGGACAAACTATTTCTGTCCACATTATGGTGAAGCTGGTCTGAGTCCCTGAAAGACTTTCTAAAGAATGAATCTACTGTGGTTTGTTTTTCTCATTTTTTGTCACTGCAGAACTTCTTCATGTGCAGACACACTGTCCATCTTTCGCCACCATGGAACAGCCATCCACATTTGGGTCAGCTTCTTCAAAAAGAGCAGTTGTTGCTGAAATATGGTCAAAAGCCTATATCAGTCACTTCACTGTTGCTTGATGTATTGAGGGCCCAGGCTAGTGACTAGGGCCCTCTTCCTGCTACCTTTGTTTTTCTAGTTCTAGTAAGTCTTCCTTCATTAATTCACGTGGAACAACCCAAGCAAAATGTCAACACCCCCTTACCAACCTTGCACAAATTTACCTTCTTTACCACTTTCACAGATTCTTTATTAGCAAGTGTTACAATGTCTTCCCAAGTTAAAGACTCTTTAAAAAATAATAGAGCTGAAATGTTTTGATAGCTTTGGAGTTAACAGGTATAGTTTGCTCATTTTTATATACTTAAAACTTTGGTGGGCTTTAAAGTTAGAAATTAGTAAACCCTTTTGTTTCACTGTCACCTCCTTTCAAGTCATCAAAACTACTTCATGCCTGAGCACAGATGATAGCTTGGCCTTCGGGGTGCATTACGACAGCACTGATCTTGTCGCCATGTTGCCAGGATTTTATTCATGTATTCTATTATCCTTGCCTGGTTACAAGATAATTTTGTGAACTAAAGGGTGTACCTGCTTTAATGCTACTTTTGGCCTTTTGAACATTATCTCTAATATTCTGTAGGGTGCACTCTCCTACATTAACAGAATGAGATACTGCAGCAGTAGTTTGGCTTCTTCAGAGTTTTATCACATTTAACTTCTGTTCCAAATTTATTAAACTTGGGGCATATTTTTTAGCACTTGCACCACCACTTAATAAACCTGAATGAAATTGTTATTTGATATTTAGAAAAATAATTTTAATTGTATCAAGAGCAAATGTTAAGAGCAACACAACAGTCACCAAAAATATTAAGCTAAGATCTAACACATTTGTTTCATGTGATATTGATAAATAATGATGGGAATTTAATTTTCCTGCTAAAGTAATGCTGACACAGGACAATAATGACATAGTTTATAATCCTTTTAGCCTGCTAGATTTTAAATTATGCATTTCTTCAAAATTTTTTTTTTAATTTTTGCAAGTTTCACAACATTTCAAATTTGAGTCATAAAGTAGGAATTTAAATATTTTTATTTTGCACTATTTTCAGCCTCACATAATTCAAAGATGCATAAACTGACACTATACTGAACATTTTCAAGAGAATTTCTAGTCTAAAAGAAAATTACTTGAATGTAGTAAAAGAGAAAAATAAGCAACCCAATGGAATTAACAAGTATTTTTAAAAATTAAGGAATCAGACACAAATAAAATAAATCAAGAATGCATTCTTATTAATGATCTAACTTTAACATTCAAAACCAAAAATTAATGCATAATATATTACTCCACTTTTTTAAAGACTAAGCTGCAAACAGAAATGTAATCAGATATATATTAGAAGGCTACATACAAAATTAAAATAAAGTGGCATTATCAGGCAAAATATTAACAATAAAACTTACATCTTCAATGATCTTTGTTGCTTCTTTAGTTACTGCACCTGTTATAAAACATACATTATTATCCCCAGAATATACAGAAATAAACACTGAAATCAAGAAGTTACTTTCCTTTCACTAAGGTGATCTACAACCTAGTCCGGAATTTCTCAAAAAATGGTCCCAGGAAACTCGGCATCAATAGCACCTGGGGTCCTTGGTAACGGTAAGAATTCCTGGGCCCCAATCCCAATCCCACCCTGCTGTATTAGAATCTCTGGTGGTAAAGGCACCTATATTAAAATCATTTGCATTCTTAAAAAAATAAACTATAACATACCACTTCCTTCCCTATCCATGCCACCCTGCTTGCTACCCACTTCCCTCCAAGACAGAGGAGCATTTCCTCATATAAATGTAAACGTACGTATCACCAATAAGAGCTACTCAGATTAGACAACACTCACTTCCACAGCCTAACCAAATGCCTTTGCATCAAGTCATACCTTTTAAAACACTGCTAGTGTTCCCTGTGGGCTGGGCAGGAGACACTTTTGCCAGTGACACCACACTGGTTATAACTGGCGTTGTATTTGTCCTTGTAGAAGGGAGCGCCACTGAAGCAGCTGGTGTCTTAGAAATATTTACTGATTAAAATAAAAAGGTAAGACCTAGTATAAACAAAAGGGTCACACACACACAAAAAAACCCTATTTAACAACTAAGTTTTCAAGGTGCAATGCAAATGGTCTAACTCTGTATAACGTTGGGTTGGGTGATTCCGGTCAGCTTAGTGTTCATTGGAACTTAAAGAGAGGCTGATTCTCTAAAATTATTAACTTCAAATGATATTTAACAGGTAAAAATATAGGTATTAGCTTCAGGATTAACTGGGCTTTTCTATTCATGAATATTAAAACTCCTACACGTAAGCTTGCTTCAAATAAAAATTTAACACGACAATTTTTATACATAAGTTGGTGATGTAGCTCTCCATCCAGATAATGTTAATCCACATTGTAGAAAGAAAATTCTACCACCCACCTGACTGGTCTCAGGGAATGGATGACAACACAAAAGATTAGCACAAGGCATGTCAGGATTAAGGTGATGATTAATAAGACTGCAAAGGTACACAAGGGCCAGACTGCAAGGAGCCAAAGCACATGGATTCTGTCAATTCAGCAGCACTCCAGGCTTTGGTCAGAGAACATAATAGCAAATGTTTTTACTCTAACCCAGTGAAGTCCTGCAGCACGGAGCTACTCTGAAAACATACCACATATCTATCTATTCATCTGGATATTTTGACCACATTAGCTGTCCTACTTGCAAAATTATTTTATTCTTAGCCAGAAAAAACTTTGCTACCCATGAAGAACTGGTCTACTTTATTTTTTGTGATGTAATTAATGTGTTGTTCTTTTTCCCTTGGCTACAAGCAAGCTCTGGATCAAATCTTACTCCAGTCACTGCAACTACATTAACATATTTATATCCTCTCCCTTTGTTTGCTCCAATTTTCTATTTTTATTTTTATTTCATTAACTGAATAGCATATATCCCTTAGTGTAAGTTATTTAGGTACAGATAAATTCAATCAAAAGCAATCAAATCTAATTTTCCTATAAAATTAGTGTTTCCACATTTATTATTCTGGGTGTGTTTGATTATGATAGCAAAAAACATCCGGATTAATCTTTCCTCAAGGGCAATCTTTAAGGATTCTTACAGGAAAATTTAAGGAAACTCAGGCTATCTAAATCCAGTGCAATTTTGTTTCTATTATATTATTTACAACTGTGTATGCTGATCGTGTACCCTAGCACTGACATCAAGATCCCATTAGCCAAGTTTAATTTTACCTTTCCTTTGTGAAACAGGGTCATTCGTAATTTGCTGATGAAAAAACTCCAAGACACAAAATAGGTTACAGAAATGTTTGATGTTTCCTTGCCATTTTATGGACTCACTTAGCTTACCCTGTCGTTTACAAGCATCACATTTGGCCATCTGAGAAAGAAATGTAGGACAGGATAGGCTTAAAACTATAAAATAATAAAAAAATGAACATTAATCATAAAACCAGAAGGCACTATGAAAACAGGATATATTAGTCAGCTGAGATCACAAAATGCAAGGTTCCTTTCTACCTTAAAATATTGTGGGGATATATATATATATATATATATATATATATATATATATATATATTTAATTATTTTTCATATAGATATCCTCAATCAAGAAAATATAAAAGTGGACATCCTATTTTCAAAATTACCGATGAAGTAATCTAAAGATAGTTTCTCTTTTTTAAAAGGTTAAGAGGCAGCATATTGCAGTAGAAAGAATACAGGCTTTGGAGTCATAAAGACTTTGATTCATTCAACAAATATCTAGCACTGAGATAGGTCCTTGTCTTGAGCACTGAGATAGGTCCTTGTCATAAAATTATGAAAAGACATACCTCCCCACAAGAAGATTATATTTTGAGGGATAGGGAGACCAGTAAACAGGTGATTTCATTGGAGTGTTACAGGTACTGCCTAGCTGTCATCTACCAGCTTCTTCAAGGGCATATTACTTCATCTCCCTGGATCCTACTCTTATTCCTTATTTATAAACTAGCACTAATATACCTACCTCTTGAAACAGTGGTGAGGATTAAATGAAATAACACTTATGAAGTACCAGACATGTATTAGTGATTCAATTAATTGTAGCTTTTGTTGTCAGCCTTTCAAATAAGTAATTGTTTTTAAAAAGGAGGTTGGTGGGGCAGCTGGTTAGCTCAGGTGGTTAGAGCGCATGCTCATAACACCAAGGTTGCAGGTTCAATCTCCACTGCGCCCTCCACAACTAGACTGAAACAACTACTTGACTTGGAGCTGATGGGTCCTGGAAAAACACTGTTCCCCAACAAAATAATAATAATAATAATTTTTAAAAAGGAGGTGGGTAAAGAGATCAGTAGTAGTCATTTGACCTATGAAGTGAGAACAAGGTCTGACTTCAAATTCCTCAGAGTAACCTTCTGAATTCGAGAGGCTTAAGGCAACATGACTATGTAAAGTTCTAACTTGAAATAAGTTATTACTAAGGTCAATGTGCCTTATAAGAAAGCAAATAATAAAAGGAACATATTCTCAAACAACGACACACTCTTCAGAAATTCTATACTCTTTACTCCAAAGATTTCAAGTTTATAATCAACTGAATTTTGCTCGGAGCTCATAGTTTACTTTATCCAGTTCTAAAAACACATTTTTATTCACATAATCTGAACATATTTTAGACAGAAAATAATTTTTACAAACATCAGAAAGCCAGAGGTATATTACATTTACCTGATAAAACAGAACTGTAAATTTAGACATGCAATCTTCACAACAAAACTCTTCTAACTTGCCCTCTAATCGATTTTCTACCAAATTAGGGGATGTCTGGGAACAATAACTGCACATCCTACAGTAGTTTCCCCACCGTTCTCCAAAGTCACGGGCAGACAGGTATTTGCAAACTGAGAACCAGAAGAGATGAAAAGAAGAAACAACAAAAGTACATTAAACTTAAAGGAGGTAAAGTGATTTCCTAAAGTCTTAGATACAAACTTTAAGCTAATTTCTAAATACTTGACACAATTATTTGCCTTTAGGTTAAAGGATAGTTTCTATATTCACAAAACAAACTCATATCACCTTTTAAATATACTCTAAATAATAGGCCATCTATATTTAGAAACATCAGAGGTATAAAATTTCTTAACCCAAAATGCCATAATTGCTTAAGTATCCTCTTCACAAATGGGTGCAAAAACAAAAAGATCTCTGAAGTCACAGCTAAACTCAGCAAGAGATTTTCTATACTCTATACTAATACCATTGATCTAATTATATTTCCAAAGGTTTTCTTTACTAAGATTGTTGTAACATAATCGCAACTAGATTGAAAATGGCGACTGGACTTGGAGCTGAGTTGTGCCCTCCACAACTCAGATTGAAGGACAACAACTTGACTTCGAGCTGATGGGTCCTGAGAAAACACACTGTTCCCCAATAAAGTTAAAAAAAAAAGGATAGACTTTAAAATGAAGTAAGTATAAACTCAATTAAAAAGCCTCAAATTATACCTCATAAAACAAAAATTACTTGAAAATAAATTATGGATTAGGGGCCAGCCGAGTGGCTCAGTTAAGAGCTCACTCAAGAGTGCAAGCTCTGAGCAACAGTGGTTCGATGCCCAGGCCGAGCTGAGTTGCCACTGAGCTGCCAACAGGGAGCAGGATGGCTCAGCTAAAAAAAAATAATTAAAATAAAGAAAGAAATAAATAAAAAATAATTTTTTAAAAAAATTATGGATTAATAACCCAACTCATAATGAATACTTCATAACACATGCTCTGTGCATAAAACTGAACTTTTTTCTTTACCTTCACTACAGAATGGCTTATCAACCCCTGAGAATCGTACAGTCTCCTTTATAATTTTCTGTAGTTTACAGTAGTCACACATTGCTATAACTTTATTTTTCTTTTTGTAGTCATCAGAGCAAGTCTTGCCACAAAACAGAAACATTTTACCCTGCAGAGAAAGAATACTCATTAAGACCTAATTAAACAGTTGTTTTATTTTTAAGAAATCCTTTCCTTCTCGTTTCAAAGCAATTTAAGTGATCATCAAAGATGAAGAGATAAAAATACTTCTATTGGATAGGTTTATATTCAATTCCTTTCACCATCTCTCTTTACCTTATAGAAAAGAAGTTCAGGTTTTGTGGCAAACAGATGGTTGCAGTGCTGACACTTGAGTTTAACAACTGCATGGGCTGGAGCAACTTGCTGGGCATCTGCAGCAGGAGACTGGAGACCCGCTGCTGCAGAGCCACTGATGGAGCTGGGGGAAGAGGCAAAGGTGCTACCTCCTCCTGCTGACACTGCTGACCCAGAGGGCAGGCTTACTTGGCCCTGAGACAGGGGCACTGCTGAAGAGTTTGTTCCTTTTGGCTTGTTAAATACATTCTGAAAGAACACAAATAAGACGAATGTCTTAACTACAGAGAAATGACGGAACTTTCATTTTCTCATTTTAATAAATCAATTCTCCCGCCAACATTTCTTTAAAATACATAAAGTAGTACACTGAAAGAGTTTCAATAGCATACCTCCAGAATACGAGGACTGAGAAATGCGGGCTTCCAGACAAACACCTCTACTACACACGACCTTAATAAGTTAGAGCAGGCCTCTTATTTTCCCCAAGACACCCCTTCACCCGCATCCCCATCACCAAGCAGCTTCTGACAGCTATTAAGGCCACTAGTCTCTCTCTCCTTAGTGCCAGGGACACCGCATCAGGCATCTTTCCACCCTGGAGGATCACTAAACTCTACTGTCTCTGTGTATTGCACAGAGTGAGATGTGACAAGTGAGTGGAGGCTTACAATTCCATGCCAGGAGTCATTATGTACCTGGCCCAGGATGAGAGGAAGGAACACATAAACAGATCGCCATCTACCGTATCCAAACCATATCCTAGCTTCCACCCTTTTGAAAGGGAGAGAGCCAAGGGAAAAAGTGAGAGGGAAGGGTAATTTAGGTGAGAACTCTGAATAAGGAAGAAAACACTGAGGCTCAATACCTGAGCTCAAACATTTTGCAGAAATGATTTCTGGGACCAGAGTTGAATTTTATTCTTTCTAACTTACAGTGTAATCTCTTATAGATATTCAGCAGTTAACATTTTGCCATAGACCAGTGCCTAAGAGAACTGCAGGGGTAAAATATCTTAGATCATACCTGGAAAGCCACCACACAACTGGAGCTGCAGAAGCTGTATATAGTTCCATTGGACATGGCTAAATGATACTGAGGGATTGCTGAGGTTTTACAACTATGACACGAAACCTGGACTCCTTGGTAACGAAAAATAAAAACCAATGAATAAGTTACCCAGATGAAAAAATGATCCAAAAATGTATTAGAATAAAAACACAAATAGGGCCGGCTGAGTGGTGCGTTGGTTAAGAGCTGGCTTGGGACGCCAGAGGGCCCCGGTTCGGATCCCACATATGAGGACCAGTGACACTGCCCTCTACAGCTAAGATGCTGAACAACAGCTCAACCTGGAGC